TCTGGCTCTCGTTTTTTCCTTGTAAAGTGTTCTTGCTAAATTGGTGATGCTTGCGATGCTGCCTTTTGTGGTGGCTTTTTCTCGAATTTCTTATGGAGTGATTATAGTTTCAATTAGAGATTCACCTATACTTTGCAGTTTTTGGGATAAGTGGTCGTCTTCTCTATCGAGGATCATGAGCTTTTGGATTCATTGCTTACAGAGTTTGTTTGATTTGAGCTAATGTTGTTTTGATTCAAATTTATCAGTATTATGATGTTAGTTATATTTTTTATGCTTTTGTCCTTTGTTGTAATTAGTTTATAGTTTTTGGTTTGTCTTTTTTTCTTTTTTTTTTGTGGTGTTGAGTTATAAGTGTGTCTGTGACTGTCCTTTTATTTTCTCTTTGAATAAAGCTAGTCGTGACCCTCATTTTTCAATAGAAAAAGGGATAGCGAAGGGAAATAATCTTTTTTTTTTGTAGGTTTTAGAGAGAGAGAGAGAGAGAGAGATTTGAGTTTAAAATATCATATATATATATATATTATTTATTTATTTATTTATTTATTTATTTATATATACATATATATATGTATGAACACATATTAATTTGAATATAAACAAATATATGCCAAATGAAGAGCAATTTGGACGTGAATAAATTAATTTAATGCATCTCGATGATTCGAACATGTTCGCTCAGTTTGATTTACGAAATAATGTCCCAATAAAAAATTAATACGTGGAGAAAATTATTCCAAATGGAACTTCATGTTCACAAATTCACAATTAAAGAATGTTGAATTGTCGTCACACTCGTCATATGCCTCCCCAAACACGATGACAAGCATGAAGCAACTCACAAAACCATAATGACAGACTAGGCTGACCACAGCTGACTGAACCAATCATTGTGCGTGATCACACAAATAACACAGTGATTGAACTAGATTGAAAGCTATCAAAATTGATGTCAAACATAATTGATGTGGGGTTATCTTGCAAGACACATTAGTGTCGTCTCAGGATGCTCTTCGACATAAATGAGGTCGACAACAGTGACAACATTCATTAAATTAGATTAATGTGATTTCTTGAATTTAGAGGGAATATTGGTTTAAAAATTAAGAAAATTATTTGTTTTTTTTTTCATTTTTTTTAGGAAAAAGTTAAAATTAGTATTTGTTGTATGCTAGAAATTTCTTAATTGTGGAGAAATTTTATGTCTTGGTTCAATATAATTTTCTAATTCATACACAAAGATGTAAGAGAACCAAAATTTTCATTTGAAAAAATTCAGTCATAAAAATTCACTAGAAAGTTGAATGTATAGAAATTTATTCTTCTCCTGTATTAGGGAAAATGTGGGTGTGTAATCTGGCGATCATAACTTTATAATAATAGTTTGGCTATAGCAGTCATAATCGTGCTACAAGAATTATAGTTGTTGGATAAAGTAACAGTAGTTGACTACAAAAATCACAATCTTTGATGGTAGGCAGTGAAGTAAGCAACTCACTTTCTTCTCTTTTCAACCTCCCTCAAATGGAGAAAGGTGGTTCATTTATAGTTTTTGATAGAAACATTTTTTTGGTAAATATTGTCAATGTCCCAAAATAATATATCACACGTTCCACGTAACTTTCTTTTTCAAAAGAATGACCATAGGCTATCTTATATTCAGATAATATATCTTATAAAAATCATAAATGTTTTCATCTTTTTATTATGAAATTTACTATCTATATTATCTAGTATGAGAAAATTCTAAGATTTTTAGAAATAAGCATACATCTATTGAATTAAGTATTCATTTTATTGATTGAATGATACTTTACGAGAGTAGAAAATGAAAGTTCAAGAACTGAATTCCTAGTTCCATTAGGAGTTTCTACAATTTTTCTTAGGCTGCTCTTTTAGGTTTGATGTTGACCTTGTTTTCTAATCTTTATTTTTTTCTTCTAATTATTTTCTTGGATAGGGTTTGGAGCTTTGTTATTCTTTTCCTTTCTATTATCTCAGTCGTTCATTGTATATATTTAGTTTCTTAAATATATATTGTTCTTGGGAGCTGATTGATTATTTTGTCGATACTATTTTTTATCTTAGTTTGTATTAGTGAAATTATATTTATTATTAGATTGGGTTACATATATTATATTTGGTCATAGTTTCAATCATGATAATACTATTGATCATTTTTTAAAATTTTGGTTTGGTGTTAGCATGATATCCACCCATGCATTAAATCTCTACCATTCTTTTGTATTTATTGAAGTTCCCTTGATGTATACATTGTTCTGAGATGAAGATTTAATGTATCAGTGTTTTTTGTTGATATGGTATCAATATTGGAATACTCTTTCTATTTGTTGTTGCTAATCAGTTTGGAGTAGGGCAATAAGACTCCATTGTTAATTGTGTGCATGTCAGTTGTCAGCTCAAGCTTAATTTTGTCTCTTGTTTCTGATGATTAGGCGAATGCTGAATTTACTATACTTCTCTCTCTTTCCATTTTGGAATTGTTTAGGGAAGGAATACTCTGGCTCTCGTTTTTTTCTTTGTGAAGTGTTTTTGCTAAATTGGTGCTGCTTGCGATGCTGCCTTTTGTAGTGGCTTTTTCTCGAATTTCTTATGGAGTGATTATAGTTTCAATTAGAGATTCACCTATACTTTGTAGTTTTTGGGATAAGTGGTCGTCTTCTCTATCGAGGATCATGAGCTTTTGGATTCATTGCTTACAGAGTTTGTTTGATTTGAGCTAATGTTGTTTTGATTCAAATTTATCAGTATTATGATGTTAGTTATATTTTTTATGCTTTTGTCCTTTGATGTAATTAGTTTATAGTTTTTGGTCTGTCTTTTTTTCTTTTTTGTGTAGTGTTGAGTTATAAGTGTGTTTGTGTTTGTCCTTTTATCTTCTCTTTGAATAAAGCTAGTTGTGACCCTCTTTTTTCAATAGAAAAGAGGATAGCGAAGGGAAATAATCTTTTTTTTAGGTTTCACAGAGAGAGAGAGAGAGAGAGAGAGATTTTGTGGCTGGGGGGAAATTATTTTTTTTTTATCTCCTCTTTTCTTGGATATTGAGCATTTCCTTGTTGTCAGAACTGAATTCTTTGTGATGAATAATGAATCATACACCATTATAATAAAAATTAGTATAATACAAACATGGACAAATACAAAACGAGGATATGGGACATGTCTATTAATAAAAGTACAGGACACGAACACTCGTCATACACCATTATAATAAAAATTAGTATAATATATATATATATATATATCGGTGTGTGTGTGTGTGTGTCTATATATACATATATGTATGAACATATATTAATTTGAATATAAATAAATATATGACAAATGAAGAGCAATTTGGACGTGAATAAATTAATTTAATGTATCTTGATGATTCGAACATGTTCGCTCAGTTTGATTTGCAAAATAATGTCCCAATAAAAAATTAATACGTGGAGAAAATTATTCCAAATGGAACTTCATGTTCACAAATTCACAATTAAAGAATGTTGAATTGTCGTCACACTCGTCATATGCCTCCCCAAACACGATGACAAGCATGAAGCAACTCACAAAACCATAATGACAGACTAGGCTGACCACAACTAACTGAACCAATCATTGTGCGTGATCACACAAATAACACAGTGATTGAACTAGATTGAAAGCTATCAAAATTGATGTCAAACATAATTGATGTGGGGTTATCTTGCAAGACACATTAGTGTCGTCTCAGGATGCTCTTCGACATAAATGAGGTCGACAACAATGATAGTATTCATTAAATTGGATTGATGTGATTTCCTGAATTTTGAGGGAATATTGGTTTAAAAATTAAGAAAATTATTTGTTTTTCATTTTTTTTAGGAAAAAGTTAAAATTAGTATTTGTTGTATGCTAGAAATTTCTTAATTGTGGAGAAATTTTATGTCTTGGTTCAATATAATTTTCTAATTCATACACAAAGATGTAAGAGAACCAAAATTTTCATTTGAAAAAATTCAGTCATAAAAATTCACTAGAAAGTTGAATGTATAGAAATTTATTCTTCTCCTGTATTAGGGAAAATGTGGGTGTGTAATCTGGCGATCATAACTTTATAATAATAGTTTGGCTATAGCAGTCATAATCGTGCTACAAGAATTATAGTTGTTGGATAAAGTAACAGTAGTTGACTACAAAAATCACAATCTTTGATGGTAGGCAGTGAAGTAAGCAACTCACTTTCTTCTCTTTTCAACCTCCCTCAAATGGAGAAAGGTGGTTCATTTATAGTTTTTGATAGAAACATTTTTTTGGTAAATATTGTCAATGTCCCAAAATAATATATCACACGTTCCACGTAACTTTCTTTTAATATACGTAGTTTTTTTTTTTTTTTTTGATGAGTGATTTAACAACATCAAAATATGATGATCCTAAGCTCATTGTATTCCTCTCGTCAAGCCGCTCAATTTGAATATAAGCCAAGTTTTGAGATCATCTAATATTTTGTTTGATGCATCAATGCCTTTGATTGTACCACATTAATTTGATATGAACTTATTTAGACTCAGCTTAAATAACCTTTGACGTCATTGAGCTCGTTTTGTTGATATATTCAAATTGACTATAAACTTGTTAAGTTGGGGCCTAAAAAATCCTAAATTTGAATTTCAAATATTTCTAGCTCAAAATGGATCTAGATCTGCGTGACATAATTAAAACTCTCTTAATCGCACTATCATTCAATATTATTATGTGATTTTAATCATTTAACAATATATAACTAAAAAAATGAGCCTCACTATCTCATGATTAAATTATGTGTTTATAAGACATCTTTGTATACATAAAATGATACGAGCACATCAATTTCTTATTGTTTAAAGCATTATAAATTGAATCATGCTTATAAAAACTCATTAACCCCATCAATTTAATTCTCAAATTAAAATAAATGAAAATAAACACTAATTTTGCCATAAAACTAAAAAAAAAATTATTATTCTATATATGGGCACATGAACGTCGAACTCCCAAGTCAAAAAGCATAGTACACCTCCAAACGCACTAATGAATACATAACCGCAAATCAACATCTGATAAAAAAGCTCGGTCAAATCAATGAGCCAACTCCCCACTTCAGTAATGAATGACGTGGACATCATACTCCACGGTGGCGTCACCGGTGGTGAGATCAAGCCAATGAGTCCGCGCCAGTGCATACCCCCTCGCGAAGCGAAACAGCCCGGTGCCGCCGACGATCGGCATTTCCCTCACCGGGTGGAGTGGTTGGTTGCGACCCAGTAAGGAGAGAACGCTGCCGTTGTACTTCCCGGACGTGAAGGCCAGGTTCATGGTCATGAGCAGGCTCACCTCCTCCTGGCCCGTCGCGGCGTACAGGCCTTGGGCCCGGCCCAGGAGCGTGGAGTTCCGGTCGGGCCCCTCGGTGAGCAGGTCGTCAATAATGGCTATCATGCCGAAGCCCGAGTTGGGGTGAGCTCCGGCGGCGGGTTTGGTAACTGGAACGGCGGTGGCGTTGCGGCCGCTGAGGATGTCGTGGAAGAAGAAGTGGAGGTGGCTTTGTTTTTCCTTGAGCTTGGAATGGAGAGGAGGAGAAGCGGTGGTGTGGGAGATGAGCAGGAAGAGGAGGGAAGAAAGAAGTAGACGAGAAGCCATGGATGTTAGCAGAGGAGGGGAATCGTGAGTTTAAGGTGTGAGTATATAGGAGGTGAGTCGTTATTTATAGGAAAGCTGATGGAGAAATTATCATCAATGGTGTGATATCATTTCACATGATAATTTTTTCAAATTATGAATTTGAATCAATTTTATTATATTTTATTATTATTATTTTAATATTTTGCAGAGACATGTAATTGATGTTGTTGGAGTATCAACTTATTTATGGGGACTAAAAAATTTCAGTCTGAAATTATGGAGTAGAGGTGGCTGAGCTAGATATGGAGTGGGTAGGGGATGAAGCCGTGGAGGCGATCAATTGGTCATCATTGTGGGAAACCGGAACTCGTGGAATTAGGTGAATTGAGGGTGATTAAGGAGAAAATATTGTGTATGGAGTTTGGACCTGAGCTCTCCAGAGTTCGGACACGAGCTGTGTCCTGACAATGGACGTGAAACACCGGAGGTCCGAGCTTCTGCTCTAAGTTGGGACCCTGGAAGCAATATTTTTTCGCACTTAAGGGCTTACGGGTAGGCGTGTAAATGAGCCGAACTGGAGCGAGCCCAGGCTGAGCTCATGTTCGGCTCGTTTATATTTCGAGCTAAAAAATTGTGTTCGTGTTCAGCTCATTTGCTTAGCGAGTCGCACACGATCACGAACAAAGAGTCATTTTGACAATCATAATCACGTAGCCATTAGATGTTAAGGATCGGGGCAAGATTTAAAACACCATTTGAATTTAATTTAATAATTGTTATTCTATTTTCTTAATTAATACTTTTCATTGATTATAAATCTTTGTAATCTTGTAGTCAATTAAATTTTTAAAAAGGACTACTCATCAAAGATATATATATATGTATATAATTGATTAGTAGTATTTCGAGCTAAAACAAGCCGAACACGAACAAACAAATATTTTTTCCGTGTTGTTAATGTTCGGGTCGTTAACTTAGCAAATGAGCCGAATAAGAGTTTCTTAATGAGTCGAACACGAGCCGTTCACGAACAACACGGGCCGTTTTGACAGCCCTACTTATGGGCGGCGATGTCAGTGTGATCGGCTGAGGAGTTTGGATCACCAAACGGGGAATTAATGGCTCTTTGCGACTTTTAGTTGGCAGCTAAGAAAATTAAATAAATCTTTTGGTCAGGAGTGTTCCACGGGGACCTGAAGCCAAAATACGGCTGGCCAAATTTCAGTTCTAGCAGGACTAAATGGAACAAGTAACGACAAAGCTTAGGGTGGCCTTCTAGAATCTTGATGGTCAAACACAATGGAAAACATAAACCTGCAAAGTTTGGTGGGATCTTGACTTTCTACACATTTACACGTTGTGGCGATTCCGCCTCGGCGCGCTCCCGTCGCATTGACCTCATATTTTTAGTAGGCCACTTAATGCCTGTTAATGCCCATTAATGCCTGTCCCGTAAGCCTTATGCACGAATAATACCTTTTTGGCAATTATAATAAAGTGCATATACATTCAAGGCATACATTTTTTATGTATGTACGTAAATCACGCTTAAATTTTCATATTTACATGTTTTATATTCAAAAATGACTTGCATGGATCTCGAAGAGTATGATGGTTCAGATGAAATGCTAATATACATGAAGCTGACTGAACATCCAAAGACTGGCTCTTTATCTAGGCCAGCCTAAATCAAATAATCCCATAAATACTACTGTACTCTCTCAGCAATCCAGTCAAAATTACCAAGAAACAAGCCATCCAACTGGCTACGCTAGGACCACCCTGCAACTCAAAGCCGACCGGCTCCACTTGATAAAGACCGGTTGGCACCCAAGCAAGATTGCTGACTGACACCGCTTGGTTGCTGGATTCAAGGGCTCACCGAATAAAGGCTCCAAAAATATCAAAAGGCATATAAATCAGTTACAAATACAAAAATACAATAATATCTTCTAATTCCCTCATAAAAGTAGGGGCATACATGTAAATTTCTATTTTGTGACTCGTTATCAACTATAAATAAAGGGTGTCGTGGTTGTAAACGGGTTTTTGGCTCCAGAATCTAGACTCGTACTCTATAGGGAGAACTCCCTCTCCCTCTCTTTGTAATCTCTATTTTCATATTTAAAATGACATAGAGCCCGAGAATAGGCCAGTTCACCTCCACAGGGCAAGTTTGTAGGTGCTCTTTTATTTATTTTTTATCTCTTGGTTTCCCTATATTCCCCCCCCCCCCCCAATAAACTTCTTAAATAAGGAGCACGATAAAGAGGTTTTAGTTTAACAAATCTGGAGCCTGAAGCGTCTTTTCAATCATTTTCTTAGAGGTTTTGGCCTGGAAGTAAGTATTATACATGAATGTCTAGCTCCCAATGCTCGAAATCCAACTAACTCTACTAGCACACTGCTCGACCGGTCCTAGGCACTCAATGCTATGTTCATAAAGGGTATTATCTCAAAAATTTTGCTAATTTTATGATGATCATCTCTAAATTTCTTCTAGATTCAATTCATACTTGAGGAATTTAGATCCCAAAAACCATGCCAATAGTGACCCAAAGAGGTCTAACAGGCTGAGTATTTTACAACGCTCCCTCATAAAAAATTCTTGATGTCGAAGCTTGGATGGATAAAGCCCTAAAGGTGGTCCCCTGTCCAGTAGCGACAAGATCCATAAAGAATAAGGTGCAAATCACCTCAGTGGCAAGTTTCGACAGTTTCCCTCGTGAAAGCAAGGACAAGGTCTACTTAAGACATAATTCAACACAATTATAATGAACATACTAAATTTTATGAGGTAATTCTCACTTCACTAAAATTTGTTGAAATTCAACACAATTAAAATGAACCTACTAAATTTATTGCATATAGTAAAGTGAAATTTAATCGCATACTACATCACAAAGACAGGGGTTTAACTCATTTCCAAACCAAACAAGTTAAATTTATTCATCCTCTATCTCATCATAAGAAATTAATTTATTTCAATTGTTGGACTTATATATGAATCATGTTTTTTTTTTTAATTATCAATTCAAGACATAAACATTCTTGGCTCTTCATTTTAATGCCAAAATCCTAAATAAGGAGATATCAAATTGGTTTCTAGCATGGTGGGACAAATTTGATGTCATAAACAATATCTTTTCTGAAGCAATTACTAATCTTTACTCTTCCTCGGTTGTATCTTCTCCACAGTTCGCCAAAATAAAAAATGGTTTTCTGGCATATGGCATGTGTGAATTGCTCTTCTTTTGTCAGACCCAAATACCTCGAATTTTTGCATCGAATTTATGTCTTAAACAAGACAATATCAATATTAAATCATTATTGAGAATATTTTTTTATCAAATGTTGGTTTACAATTATTGTCTTGTCAAAATAATTTAGATTAATAATGTTAACACATCCAATGTTTCCAAAATTCAAGAAACAAAATTCAAAAAATTATCCTTAAAACAAATTCCCAACAACAAAACGAAAATATCCGCGAGAATCTCCTTAGAGCAGCAAATGCAAGAGTTATATCAGAACCAAATGAAAGATCTATTTGAGTCTGAAGAAGATAAGCCAATATCCAATAACAAGTGAGACAACTAAAAAAAATTGAAACAAATTGTGACCCACCTCAGCTCAAATTGACAGCGCAAAGATAAAAATTGTTTAAAGTAGATCCCCACTAAGGTTATTTCAGATAAACATTGTGTCACTAATTCCGACGGTTGAAATTGTTACTGTATTAATATTGGTTGGCGTAATATTGTCTGCAGTTATCCTTACTTTATATCCAATCAAATGAATGTGTTATCTTTTATGAAGTTCTATTATATTGATTTGAAGTCCACCCTCTGCTGTAAATAAAAACTTTGTATTCTGTTAGGGTGTGCAAGCTTTTGGAAAGTTTTTTCATTATAAAATATAAGTATTCACTTAGTGCTCCTTGCATTCTTGGAGTCCTGTAAGTTCTTCTGTTATTAATAAATTTCTATTTCATTACACACACACACACACACACACACACACACATACACATCACGTACTCGGATCAGTTGGTCGGACATCTGTTTGTCAGTTGTAAGTCTACTCTGGTATGGGGTTTGATCCCTCCGTGTGTAGAGTGTGGTACTCGAATTATTAGGTGCATTAGGGATGATCGGGCTCGTATAATAGCCTCTAACAATTCCTAAAATATAATATATTTCTTTCAAATTCATAATCTAAAAAAAAATACAAAAATCCCATTTAGTCAACAGTTTACACTTTCTTTTTACGCAAATCACGTGAAATGATTTCACACAGGAGGTGATAAGTTCTCCATCGTCTTTCCTATAAATAACCACCTACCTTCCTATACTCCGTACCTTAAACTCACGATTCCCCTCCTCTGATAACATCCATGGCTTCACGTCTCTTTCTCTCTTCCCTCCTCCTCCTGCTCATCTCCCTTACCACCGCTTCTCCTCCCCTCCATTCCAAGCTAAAGGAAAAACAAAGCCACCTCCATTTCTTCTTCCACGACATCGTCAGCGGCCGCAACGCCACCGCCATTCCAGTCACCAAACCGGCCGCCGGAGCCCACCCCAACTCGGGCATTATTGACGACCTGCTCACCGAGGGGCCCGACCGGAACTCCACGCTCCTGGGCCGGGCCCAAGGCCTGTACGCCGCGACGGGCCAGGAGGAGGTGAGCCTGCTCATGACCATGAACCTGGCCTTCACGTCCGGGAAGTACAACGGCAGCGTTCTCTCCTTACTGGGTCGCAACCAGCCGCTCCACCCGGTGAGGGAAATGCCGATCGTCGGCGGCACCGGGCTTTTCCGCTTCGCGAGGGGGTATGCACTGGCACGGACTCATTGGTTTGACCTCACCACCGGTGATGCCACCGTGGAGTATGACGTCCACGTCATTCATTATTGAGAGCTACTTGGTAAAATTAGGTGGGAGGGGTGGTAGGCTTATTGACTTAGATTTTCGCGTCATGTACCCGTATATAGAATAATGAATTTTTAGTTTTATGAGAAAAATGGTGTTTTTTTAAT